TTACGAGAGCCAGCAGCAAGCCATTAGCGATCAGTTCTTGATCGGGAGACAGCTGGTGTTAACCAATAAAGGTTATTTTTCGCTCTCTTTCGCGTAAACAACTATTTACAAAAATAACTCGTCCATCTTTTCTTATTTAAAATTTTACAATGTGCGCATATTGTTTTACCATTGTTAATCACGTATTTTAGCCTTAAGCTTGATGCAAAGTTCCCAGTCCTAGCAAAGAAATCGACAATTTTCGAGTGCGTATAAAGTTTCGACGCGCACTGTATTTTAATGTTTGATGACATTCCCTTTGTTCATGTTGCTAACTATTTTTTTCCTATATAGCCTATCGATATATACACCACGCACCATACACCTTGCTTCGCTCTTCGCCGTCGTTTTTCAATATGTACGTCAGCTCAGCTCGGCTGACCTGTCCGTCGTGTTGTGGCTTAGAGCTCAATGCGCTTGCCGCCGCCACCGCTGCTGTTGCTCGCGTTGCTCATGGTATCGCTAGTCTGGCGACTTTTGTAGCTGCTGCTACGGTCGTATGATCCACGACGTGAGCGTCCGCGATTGCCGCCATTGTGGTGGTTGCCGCCAGTCAGCGACTGTCGAAGCGACGAATTCCTCACAGCATCGGCGCCATAAGACTCACTGCGGTCGTACGAGCTTCGACGAGTGCGACCACCTTCAACGCTGCCTGTGAACGATTGACGCAGAGAAGAGTTGCGTCTGTTCTCGCCGTTGTTGAACGACTCCGTGCGGTCGTATGAGCTGCGACGTGAGCGGCCCTTGGCCTTGCCCGTGCCGTTTGTGTTTGTCTGTTTGGTAGCTGCAGTAGCACCAGTGAGAGACTGACGCTGTTGCTGCTGCTTTGCGTCCTCCAGCAAGTCCACGCCAAGCGTCACGCTGAAGCTCACGCGGTCACCGTTGTCTTCAGGCTCACCTTCCATGACGATGCCCATAACCTTCGCAGGAGACTCGAGTGGACCGTCCTCACCTGTAGGCTGACGGATTCCCGTATTCTTCGCAGGAGCGCTAGGAGCAGGCGTTCCAGAAGACGATCCCGTGCTGGACATGGAGGAAGAACGACGATCGCGGCCTTTGATCACCTCTGCGAACGACAGACGCTCGCCAGTCACTTCAGCTGTAGGAGAGGGCACGACGGCCGGTTCCTCTTCAGGACCGGCATTCGAGATCTCACGGATGTTCACAACACGCGAAGACTTGGAGCTCTCCTGCTTCTTAACAGACAGCGAGTTGGCGCGCTTGATGGGCGTCGTCATCGGCTGACTCGACAGACTGCTCTCCATGGGAGGAGCAGGCGGTTGCAGCGTCGACAGTGACACACGCATACCCACAGCAGGCTCCGAGAGTTCGATGGCCTTAGAAGGAGCAGCGATCGTTTTGCTGGCCGTCGCCTTAGGCTGCGGCTGCTTTGATGACAGCGCCAGCTTCGTCAGGCGTGGGACTTCTTCACGGTGCTTACGACTCAGCTCGGGGTCTTGACGCAGGATCAGACGAAGACGAGCGTTAGCCTTAGCAAGCGCCATGTTCTCGCCCTGCAAGTGTTCGGTGTGCTGCTTCAAGTGGTCCACTGTGTGACGGAGAGCCTGACGCTCATTCAACGCCTCGCTCAACGAGCTCTGCATCAGCGTGATCTTCTCCATCACTCCGGCGTGCTGTGCCTTCAAGTTGCGGTGCCCAGTCTTGTAACGTGCAAGCTCGCTCTTCAGCGCCTCGTTCTCATCTTGCAGCTTCATGGCGCGTTGGTTGGCAGCAGCGAACGAAGCTCCGTTCACGTACGCACCACGCTCCATCACCTCCTTCTCCTTACGAAGCTGCACGCCGAACGCCTTGAGGTTCGTGTTGGCCTCCTTAAGTGCAGCATTCTCACGTCGCAGCTGGTCAATCACCAGGTCAGCATCCTCCAACGCCTCCTCGCTACGCATGTGAACCGAAGCACGAGTGCCGTGTTGAGCCTGTTGCTCGAGCTCAATACGCGCCTCACGCTCCTGCTGCAGACGCTTTTTGAGCAATTGAATCTGGTTCTCTAGCTTGGCGTCCTCCTTCGCCTGTTTCTGTAGAACTGAGAATGCCTTGATGGCCAGGTGCATACGCACGACGCTCTGCATCGTACGGATCGCCTTCACCTTGACCAGATACTTACGACGAGCCACAAACATCTTGCAGACGTTCTGGATCTGCGTAGCACGGTACTCTTCGCGCATACGTACCAGCAGTTGCTGTGCGCGATGACGACGCACATACTTCTGCACGCTGATAGCGGCCTTGCGTTGCGTCTTGTACTGTACCATAGCACGGTGGCCACGATACACCTTCTGCGCCACAATGGCAGCCTCCTTGACCTTCTGGAACATGGCCATGGCCATCCACTTCTTGGCGTACCGCTGCAGAACCACAGCTGCGGCGTTGAACTTGCGCGTACGCAGCTCCTCGAGCGCTTCGAGGGCTCCTTGGCGGAAAAACACACGCGTCTTACCGATCTGGTACTCGCTGTCCTTGCCAGGCATCAGGTTCAACAGCAGCTCACGAACAGCAGCCGCAGTCTTCTCATCGTCGCTCGGGTTCTCGTCCGCAGTGGCTGTAAGAACCGCAAGCGCTGAAGGCTTGCCATCCACAGTAGTAGCAGACGCCACGCCACGGAATCGCTCGAGGAACATCGTCTGTAGCACGCGGTTGGGATACGCCATACGACTGATACGCACAGCCTCCACCACACCAGCACACTGAAGCTGCTCGGTTACTCGAAGCTTGTTGAAGACCAGCGGACTCTTCTTGCCATTAGGCTTGATGCATCGAATGTAGTGGACGTTGGTGCGTCGAATGTCCTCCATCAGCCCGTTCAGTTGGCTCTTGAACTGCGTGCCCACAGTGTCAGCAACAATCGAGCTCTTACGTCTCAGACCAGGACGTCCACGCGCAGGACTCGCAGCGCTCGTACCGGGAATACCCGTCATGGCGTCACCCACGTGCTCATCCGGGAAGAGCTTCTTGAGGAACGGAGCCTTGGACTTCTTAATCAGAAGAATCAGATCGTTCTGAAGCGCATCAGTGTTCTTGATCAGGAAGCCTGTGGTGTCGTATTGCACTGGACCAGCATAGTGCTTGATGACGAAGGCGTCACGAGCGAAACGAGGACACTCGAAGCGGTCGTTGTCACTGTAGTGAGCCTTTAGCTTGTTGGCAAACGCTGCGTCGCTACCCTTGGGGCGCATACACTCTTCATTCAGCAGCGACAGGACGCCGAAGCGACCTTCAAGCAGCGACAGGACGTTGACGTTATCGGCGAACTCGATGCGTGTCCAGGGGATGCCCTCGTCCTCGTATTCTTGCTGGATGGACTTGAAAACATCCTGCGTGAACTTCTGTTGCAGCTTTTCGTTGGCGTAGTTGATACACAACTGCTCAAAAGAATTCTTTTCGAAGATTTCGAAGCCGAAAATATCCAAAATGCAAATCTTGTGAGCCACATCAGCGTGCGCGGCGCTCGTCGACATGTTGACGCGGTGGATCAGCCACGAGAACATGTGCGAGTACAGCGCAACACCCAGTGCCGTACGCGCTCCCTCGGCTTGCGAGACGTTCAGCGGCACCTCGTACGTCTCCATCACGGCCGTCATCTCACGGGTGCACAGCGCAGTGTGCAGCTGGTTGTCGTCGAATTCCAGCAGCTGTGAAACCAGTTCACTCGCTTTTTGGTTCTCAGGAGTGCCCGTAAGCTGTGATGCGTCGTCGTTGCCAGGCGTAGGCTCGAATTGCAGTCGCGATAGGTGCAGGATAGCCGCCACGACCTTGAAAATGCTCATCTGGTCCTCCTTAGACACGCCCATCGTCTCCAGACATGACACAGTCTGTTGGAATCGCTCGGCATCCTTCAAACCAGCGCTGACGTCAATGCCGTTGGCTAGATCTTCGTCATGCGGCTTGATAAACGGGAAATCCTTGGCTTGCATGCCCGTAACTTTCACCTCAGTTGTTACATCTTCAGGAGCAGCCAGTAATTGGTAGAAAATGTGGTAGTTGCGTTCGCCCAGACCTTGCAGCGACACACGCGACTTCTCCAACAAGTAAGTGCGGGAGCGAGCACCAATCAGCTGCCCCAGAGCGTCGAATTGCAACTCGGAAAATTTACCGAATCGACTCGAGTTGTCGTTACGCGAGGTCTTGGCATTACCGAAGGATTCCATCAGAGGGTTGGCGTCCAACACACGTTCGATGATATTTGCCTCCTTGGCCTCAGCATCTGTCGTAGACTGACTGCCAGCCGACGCCAAGTGAGACATCAAAATCTTGGTCGTTTCCGTCTTACCAGCTCCAGATTCGCCACTAACCAGGATACTCTGGTCTTCTCCGAAGACACGCATGTGCTGGAAAGCGCCAGCACTCGTGGCGTACACGTGGGGAGGCAATTCACTGCGGTCGCGCTCCATGTATTGATCCTGGAGCTCCTTGGTGTAGATATCGAGCCATGAATACTAATGATGAAAGTGCAAATATGACGTTAGAAATATCAGGTTGAGGGACAACAAGAGTGGGACACATGGGTAACGTACTGGGTTGACGGCGATGCAAATAGCGCCAGTGTATGTGTAAGGGATTTGTCGCAGGAATCGGTGCTTCAGGTTGAACAGGATGGCCGGCTCGTGCAGGTAATTGAGGCTCACCATGTCAGCGCAGCCGTCCTCGGACGTGAGCGCGTTCTGCAGCAGCATCGTGGATTTCTGTACTCGGCATAAGAAAAGATCGCAATTAATTGTGAGATGGGTTCACTAAGATGGCAAATCAATGGATAGACGCAGACGTACGTCGATTTTGCGGATGGAACCGGCATCGGGCTGCTTGGCGGCGTTCTCCTCGGTCGAGTCGCCCTCGATCATCACCTCGACGGTGGTATCGCTGACAACATGGCCCTTGGTGATGGTCGCCTCCACCCAGCTCACCTCCGGGTCGGGCACATAGATCTATTTGGCAACAATGACGACAGTGGTTAAGTCGTTGTGGTGTTGGCGTTTTGTGTCTAAAGCGAGAGGGGGCGCACCTTAGTCTGCTGGTCTTCCATTGCGACTGGACTAACGTGGCACAGGAGGGGAAAGGAAGGAGGTGGCGGCTTGTAGGAACTACCAGGCCGGCCTCGCTTAGGAGCTCTCTCTCGTCTCTATGCCGGGCTGCGCGCTCTCGTCGTCCTCCCCGCAAAAGTAGCTATGGCGGCGAGGATTGCAAAGCTGCGCGGGTAGGAGGTCGGTCGTCGGCTTTCCCCTGGGCCGCCCTCTGTCGACGCTCTCTCCTCTCCAGAGAAAAACCTCGCCCCGCACAAACCGATTGCCTGGTCCGCCCCGTCTGCACCCCATTATGGTTTGACTTGGATTTTGTAAGGAGCCGGAAGATGTGCGCGCTTGTCTCTACCCCCAGACGAGGAATTCGCAAAACACGGAGGTAATCTTTGCCACAAGACGCTCTGTTGGACACCGAAACAGTGCAAAATGCGGTGCGAAGCTGTCCACTTCAACGAATAGGATTTTGGGCGCATCACGCAAGCCATATTGGTTTTCGCAGGTTTTGGGTGCCGCACACAAAGTAAGCCATCTGAAGGCCAGCTGGCAGAGGAACAATAACGACCGAAGAACCGCCCTGAAACCGCGCGGACGGATGCTGGCGCCGTCGGCAATGCACCTCAAGCATGCCAGGCAGATGAACACATTAGGAATGTCCTGCCTCCTCTGATTCCCACCGCCAGCGCGGCGATGACAACTTGAAGTTGGCTGCAAGCTCGAGGGCAGCGGCGGGGGGACACACGATCACCTATCCACATGAATCAGGGCCGTGATTGAGTCAGCTGTCCCCGGTACATGTAACAGGGCCCGTTTGGCAGCACATTGAAGACGCCTACATGTACCGCTCGAAGATCGCCGCCATGCCTCAGGCATGACGGCAAAGAGCCAAGCGCACAGCTGCATGAACAAATGCCGGGAAGGCTTTGTGCCGTGCCACGATGGCCGTGGCCTCGAGTGTCGGAACATTCTCGAACAACCGAGCATAGCACGGGACGTCAGCCTGCATCATGCGGCTGCGCGAATCAAGACACCGAGCGTATCCATTATTTCCGCACAGAGCCCGCGCACACATGGCTACCGTCGAGGCAACAAAAATGTGTCCGCTGTTGTGGTGGTCGACATCCTCGCTCCAACTTGGAGCGAGGATGTCCAGGCCCAGAGCTGGGATAGACGATGGTTCCACGCCACCGTGGCAAGTCTCCATCAACAGTCTTGGTCCAGGTGACGACTGTATGCTGCACTTGTATCAATTCGTTTCGCATTGAGGCCGCTGCCTGATTAAAATCGCCCCCGTGGCAGAGGTCGATTTCTCACACCGCGTGGAGCTGAGCAGTTGAAGCGGGCGCCCACGCGCCATGTCCAGGCTCAAGCTGAAAGCAGTTGGGGCGATTTGGGCAACTGCAACGCTGCTTATAAAAGCTCCTCACCTCCGGTTTGCAATGCCTGACTCAGAGAGACACAACACGCACAACGAAGCATCAAGCGAGTCCCAAGCAGATAAATGCTTCAAAGTTACGACAGGGGTCTTTGCAGGATGGCATTTCGCTTGCCCACTGGCTTGAATCCGCTCGCTCCAGAGAGCGTCCACTGCCTTGAAGCGCAGCGATCTCGTTCGCGACGTCCACCAGCAGAGACCATCGTTTTCATTCCTAAATTTTGGGTTCGTCTCCCGAAAAATTGTGGCGTAACGGGAAATGTGCTGCAATTTGTTGTTCTCTGGGCTAGTTGCCCAGTGATGCTCGAAGCATCACACCCCGCAATGCTTCCACTCAATCTGAAAGCGGCTGTGAGTACTTGAGTGACACTAGCCAAGTAGAGCCATCGCCTGTAGGGCAGCTCAATATTGCGCAGGAAACGGTTAGCCTTTTACCAAATGTCAAGTGGTATTGCCTCACGCAAGCGAGTTATCCTCGCCACCAAACATTCACGACGTTTCCCTGGTGAAGCGGCGCGTGATGAGCTTGATTAACGTTGCACAGGGCTGGATAACCAAAAAGAAGTGCTATTTGCTTGGTGATGCGTGTCACGTGCAAAATGTGCATTGGTTGGGATAACCCGTTGGCCGTTTTGGATAACGGTTCGGCGTGATTACGGTTTGGCGTATATCATATCGCTGGGGAGCAAGGCGACTGCCGTTCCGTGGAGGATGCTTGCTGCGTGTTTTGGGTCGTGTCTCGAGTGGATGCTGTGCGTCGGCGTCAAACCTGCTCAGTTTAGTTGGTGTGGCTCCTTTTGATTTGAGTACCAAGATGCCTGTCGGGTCGCTGGTGTTTTGGTCGAGATCGAGGATGTGATGAGCTGGCTCGCTACAAACGAAATGTTGGGCACTTAGATGCCATCGCGGCGGAGCTCGGCCCGACAGTCGCAACAGTTCTGCAATAGGACATGTAGCCTCACTCAATAGCAGCCCGCTCTCTATTAAGGCACAGTTATCACATAAAAATAATAACCTTCATAATATTATAGAACCTTTATCAGCATATATCCCTTCGCCATCTTTTGCTATGTAACCGCGCGACGTCACTCCAAAGGCTCCTTCAGGCTCCTTCCCTGCGCATGCCGAGGCTCTTCCAGCTCGGGACAGTCCAACGATTCTCTTGGGATTGAGTGAGTCGTCTACTTTACAAGACGCGCTTCCCTGAGCGATGCTGCGCTCACATCTCAGTCGGTGGCTCCAGGCCACCGTCTACCTCCGCGTGCACCGCTGGACGGACTGGGCACTACTTGTCTCGGCCTTGTTGGGCTACGGGATTATCACTCGGCTGTGGACGCTACCCGTTGTATTAGACAGGTGGGGGAATGCCTGGCAACAGACGTGGTGGGTAGCGCTGCTCGGGCTGCTACTTGGTGTCATGGAGGACCTCTGCGTTTGCGTCGTTATGTTCTCGGTGCTCTGGACCTTTGACTATCTCACACTCAAGTCCCCGGCCGAGCGGCACAAGCTAGCGCGTCGACAGAGAGAGCAGCAAAAAGCTCTTGATGCTCAGAGGACTGACGTAGAGCAGGGATTGCAAGACGACAAAGACACCGCTGTAGCTCCAGCGTGGACGGAAGCTGTGGTGCTCACGGAACAGTTCGGGCGCTTGGCGGTATACACCGTGGTGTTCCTACTAGCGACTGGTGGACTTTGTTTGGACTCGGTGTTCCTACGTGCACGCAAGATGCGATTCTCAGCCGACTTTGTGGTCATGTACATCCGTGAGCGAGACGCTGCAGGAGAGCTGGAAGTCGACGCTGCAGAGTGGTGGGTGCTCTTCTGGACCTTGTTGTTCACAATTGGACTAGCCCTTTTTGTTGGATTGCTTGGAGCTTGTTGGATCAATCTGATGGACTGGGACGTACTGCGGTTTGTTTGTCGCAGTCGGCTATACCAACACTGTGTCGCTATTGGCGCTGCAACAAGCGACTACGAGCGTTTACATAACAAAGAAGATGACGATGACTCGTCTGAGGACTCGGAAGATTCGGATGAAAGTGACGACGAAGACGATGATTGTTCCTGTCTACGAACCGCATCGTTTCGATTAACTCCTCTAAGCGTGCTCTTCCTGCTTGTCGTGGGTTTCTTCTTAACTACGTACGAGTTGGCAAAGACATTGCCGACTATCGTGGGCTTAATCGCTTTAAACCCGGTGCTAAGCGAGCCTGTACGGATGGGTACTGGTTCTCAATTTGTTGCGGAACGCAGTTCTAACACCATTAGCCGCAGACCAATGAGTGAATTTATCGAACAAGAGACCGAGCTATCCCAGATATTCGACGGGGACTCGTTGTACCGCCGTACGTTGGCTTTCGATGGTCCGCTGGCGTTTGACATCAAAGTTGGACGTGATGAGCGGCCTAATGTGCTGCTGTTAGTGATGGAGTCTTTTCGGATGCAAGACTCGCGATTTCTACTAGACAGTGCCCTTGAGGAAGAGGTGGAGGCTGCAACTGCGTCTTTGCTGCCGCCAAATGTGACGTTGACGCCCAATTTCGACCGGTGGGCGTCTCGAGGCGTAGCGCTGCGGAATTTGTGGTCCACTTGGCGGACGAGTCGCTCGATTGAGACCCTCCTGTTCGGTCAAATGCCGTACGATAGTGTGACGGAAACAGGCACAACCTCGGGTCGTCTGGACACGAACCTGACGGGGTTGCCACAGCTCTTCAAAGCGAAGGGCTACGACACCATTTTCACTACGGGGACACGCACAGACTACGATTATTGGGACACCTTTCTGCCAGCGCACGGTTTCGATACCGTATTAGACCGTTGGGGGCTCGTGGACATTGTGGAGAATGATCTGAAGCTTGATGACTGGTCCCAGGGCAACCACATGCTCACCTACTGGGGCATTCACGACGATCTATCGTACACAGCATTGTCCTATATTATTCGAAGCCGACAGTTTGCCCAGAACGTAGCCAAGCAGCAAGCAGAGCGCGACGCAGCAGCAGCCAAGAGGAAAACACCTACCAATGTGACGGAGAAACCTCTCCCCATTACCACAGCGTCGACGAACCCGTGGTTTGCAACGCATTACACGATTTCAAGCCACGTGCCGTTCCACGAACGTCCTGACTGGTTCTTCCGTTATGCGACCGAGCATCGAGCTGAAATGGAGGAGTTTGCCCCGCTGTACAAAGGCCACGAGCATGAAGAGCTCATCCGTGACTACGTGCAGATGCGCTACTTCTCCGACATGGTGTTTGGTCGATTCATGGAGCAGTTGGAGAAGGATAATGTACTGAAGGATACCATCGTAGTGGTCGTTGGAGACCATGGCCAAGCCCCCGAACGTGGCAGCGCAACACCCGAACAGGACCAGATCGCCACGTCTCGAATTGCAGGCGCTATTATCGCTGAGGGTCGGATACAGACCCCAGTAGTGATTGACGACGCAGCCTCGCAGTCGGACATTTTGAACACGTTGGCGGACATTGTGGGGCTGCCTGTGGGAGGTCTACTGCAGACCAGCATTGGCCGTTCACTGAAGCGTAAACCGCCCACGGGTGTCGGTAAACGAGTGGTTTATAGCAACAACCCGGCTACAAATCTCGCGGCGGTGGTGGGTACTATTCGTCTCCACTTTTTCGCTGACGGATCGGACGCGGTACGAGCGTATCACACGCAGCGTGATCCGCGTCAGGAGCATGATCTCATGGGCGAGCTTTCAGATGAACGGATACGAGAACTACTGCGGATTTGCGATGACGGCCGAGCACTCAACGCGTACTTTAAACACCGCTGGGACAACAAGTGCTTACTACAGCCCTTGTGCGGGGCGCAACAGTAAAGCTGGCAGCCCCCATCCATAGTGCCGGCCACAACAAAGTCCTTGGTCATCATCTCACATCCAAGGCAGTCCATGCTGAATAGAAAAGGCTTGGTGTCCATCACAGGCTCCAATCTCTTCTCGTACATCATGTTGGACAGCAGCGCACTCAGCGTCATGGGCTTAATATCACGCTCCTCGTTCATCTTGCACATGTTGATCTTAAACTTAAGTAGCTGCGACACTGACTGCACGTCGGTGGCGAGGCCCGCTAGGCCCAGGAACGTCTTGTCCGTCACACGGAACACCTTTTGGAAGTCCATGGCCACTGTCTGTGCCTGCATGCCTAGTCTGGTATCACTGTTTGTTTACAATAAGAATAATGTTAGCAATGGCGCTTAGACAATAGAAAATGAAGGCGCACTATTGTCAGTATAAGGCTCTAAAATTACCAAGCAATGCCAACGCAATCTTTGCCCGCCATTGCGATGATCGCCGCTCCGTTATACGACAAAATGGACTGATATGCGCAGCAAAAGCAAATACAAACCACGGATAAGTGAGCCGGCTCTTCATTTACACAAGAACAGCGGTTATTCCGCCGGTGATGCAAAGACACTCGTACCATGATGCCTTCAACAGCGCTGCAATGCTGAAACAACATTTTGAGGTTGCGCCAGTGTTCAGCATATACCGGTAATTGGACCCGAAAATCTGGGAACCAAACCAAAACATATTTTTGAATTATAGACAATAATTTAGATCCATTAGATTGCGTCAGCATCTTCCCCGATTTTATTGGCCAAAATTTATCGTATCATCGACTGCTTTTGATCGCGTCATCTCTTTCATAGTACTTTTTGTAATACGGAAATAAGGTTTCGAAAAAAATGGGTTAAAACTGTTGAATACTTTGAACTGCACAATGGCATATGCAACCTCCGTTGTGCGGCAGCTCGTTCCGCTGATTCATGCCTCAAGCTACCTTACACACTAAAAAAAAAGAACAGATAAGTTTGTACTCTACTGTGCGAAGTAGTACTATTACAGTGTAAATCTGAAGTGATGAATCACCAGTCCGTGTATTAATACTACTTTTACTACTTGTAATGTATAGTTGTGAGATTAAAATATTCCAGCGTGAACAACACGACCTTTCGTTATTCCACTGGAGCAAGTATTGGAACATCCATCGGTGATCTATTCGCTATTTATTCCAGATTGTTGCTGTTCCAAAGGTCGCGCTGTTCAAGAACTAGATTGCAGAGTCTCCAATGAATTAAGTCCACTCACAATTTGATATTCTGTAAACCATAGCTAACCTGTATATAAAGGGTTAAATGGGTTTGAGAAACCTTGATGCTTCATTATCCTGGCTGTGTTTCAGGATGTATCCGAGTTTCTAATGGGAACATATCGCTTCTGCAGACAAATGGCAAGTGGTCTAGTTAGTACTGGTGGTTTGAATCATCATTTTAGTACTATTCAAAAAGTACTCTGTAGTATTTAGGTACTAGTTTTTGACCACTGCGCCCGTTTTTTTTTAACACTTTAACTTCCGTGAGTCCATCGGTCGGTCGGGCATCATGCCGCCCCATCATCCAAACATAGTTGGTCTGCCGCCACCCACTCGAGCAGATTCCAATTCTCCAGTCCGCGCTCAAGAGACCAGGGCTTCATCTGCTGCATCATGGGCCTGCTCGTGGAAGGTAGTCCGCTGGACTGGCCGGATGCCTTGGAGTGGCTGCAGCACGTGCGCACACAGGGAATCGACCAGTTCCTGCACACCTACAACCGTGTCAAGGACATCGAAGGCGACGAGCTGAAATGGGGCGACGAGCTCGAGTACGGCGTGTTCCACATGGATAAGGAGACGAAGCGCGCACGTCTGGCACTGCGTGGTGCCGAGATCTTGCGCCAATTGCAGGCCAAAGAGAAGAAATCCGAGGAGCAGGGTCGCGACCCCGGAAGTCCTAATGCCACCTCCGGGCCTTGCGTAGACGGATGCAACTGGGTGCCTGAATACGGCGCTTGGATGATTGAGGGCACGCCCAGCGCGCCCTACGGCGGCTTCACCAGCGACCTGCGCAAGGTCGAGGGCAACATGCGCCTGCGACGCGCACGACTCCTGGCGCTGCTGAACGAGGACGAGATTGCGCCATCCGTCACGGCCTTCCCCATGATGGGCGTGGGTGACTTCACCGTGCCGCCCAGTCAGTCACACGGTCCAGTAGCCATATCGGACTACATTAGCGACGACATTATCAATCCGCACCCGCGTTTCGCCACGCTGACGAGGAACATTCGTCAGCGTCGCACCAGGAAGGTGGACATCCGAGTCCCGATCTTCCGTGACGTCTACACAGAGGCGAGACAGGAGGAAGAGCAGGCGACGTGGAATGCTGAGAAGTCGCGACCTAAGTACGAGACCAAGAAGGACGCAAGTCCGTACGACTCGGCGCCCACGTCGCCGAGCTCGACATCCAACTCGGAGGACAACGCCGAGTCCAAGTCGCCCCCGGCTCCAATGAGGAAGACGCTGGACAGCGAGCTCAAGTCCATTTGCAAGGTCGGAGACCACAAGGCAGAGCCGTATCCAGGCTTCATTCACATGGACGCCATGGCGTTCGGCATGGGCATGTGTTGTCTACAAGTAACGTTCCAGGCCAAGAATGTTGGTGAGTCGAGACATTTGTACGACCACTTGGGAGTTCTTTCGCCCATTTTGTTGGGTTTGACGGCTGCTACGCCCATCCTGAAGGGCCGATTGGCTGACACGGACGTGCGTTGGGCTACAATCTCCGCTGCAGTGGATGATCGTACGCCCCAGGAGTTGGGCGAGGCGCCGCCGTCGTCAGACCCGGAAACCCAAGCGAAATACGCCAAAATGGCTGGCAATGGCGTCAAGCGCTTGCCCAAGTCTCGATACGAAGGCATTTCGACCTTCATCTGCAACCACAAGCAAGGTGAGGACCCGCATACGTCTACAGACAAGTACAACGACGTCGACGTACCGTACGATGAGGAATCGTACAAGACTCTGATCAATGCAGGCGTGGATCGACTGCTGGCGCTCCATATCTCGCACTTGTTCATCCGTGACCCATTGGTTATCTACAAACAGCGTCTGCATCTGGACAATGAGCATGAAACAGACCACTTCGAGAACATCCAGTCCACGAACTGGCAGACTGTGCGCTGGAAACCTCCTCCGCCGGCCCCGTCCAGTGCTGAGGGTCCTCACATCGGCTGGCGCACGGAGTTCCGCTCGATGGAGATCCAACTCACGGACTTTGAGAACGCAGCCTTCACGGTGTTCATTGCTCTGTTGTCGCGTGTGATCCTCACGTTCGACTTGAACTTGTACATCCCGCTGTCCAAGGTGAACGACAACATGGAGGCAGCGCACCGTGTGAACGCTGTACTGGACGAGAAGTTCCACTTCCGTTGCCACATGGCTCCACCTGAGGTCGATGATTGCGGCTCCACGGGCTCGTGTAACCTGCACGACGATCCTGATCGCTCTGAGCTCATGACGATCGCGGAAATTATGCTGGGCAAGGGCTCGTACTTCCCTGGTCTGATCCCGCTTGTGTACGCGTATCTGGACCACATTGAATGCGATGAAGCCACCCGGACGCTCGTGGAGAAATACATGTGCCTCATCGCCAAGCGTGCGACGGGTGAACTACCGACGGCGGCCACTTGGATGCGTCGCTTTGTTCGCGCACACCCGGACTACCGTCACGACTCGGTGGTGCCCCACTCGACAGCGTTCGATCTGTTGAATGAATGTCAGCAGATTGGTGAGGGGTTGAAGCAGTGTCCGGAACTACTGGGCGAGTTCAAGATCGCTCCTGTGCGAGGCCAGGCTGCTTATCGTGTGCCGTTGAAGAGCAGCGGAGTCGCGGCCGAGAAGCGCCAGGCATTGCTGCAGCGATACCTCGGACGTACCTCATCGAACGCGTGTAGTACCTGCCACTGCTAATTTAGGTACTACGAGCGCAGCAAGCTAAGCGTCAAGCAATTCGCATCAAATGAATATGTATTGAGTTTCAAGTTCTTTACACTTCAACGCTGCCATCCAAAATCTGGATACGAAGTTGGCACAAGCTCGTCAACCCCATGCTATCAATACGCCTGCAGCTCGTCTATTCTTATGTGGAATGCAGGCAACATCTCCTTCTTGTGTTTTATAATAGAACAGAAACGACAAGTCTACTCGACACGCGCGTGTCTGCTTTTGGAGTTTGCCTTGAAGGGGTTGCAGTGCGTCTTCCATACGAACTCTGCCAAGAGCTCACGCGTGCGACTCCTTGTTGTCGTTCTGGACAGGTGAGCGAGGATTTCGCTGCCGCGTATTCAATCCCGAACCTCCGTCAGCCGGTCGTCTACCATGGAGGAGGCGCCCGTGCCGCGCAACCCGCCGCCAAAACCCAAACGCTCCAACGTGCCGTCTGCACCGGCAGACTACCCCGATGACTCGTACTCGGACCAGGATTACAACATGTCGCCCATTCGACGGGGTCGTCAACATGCCAACCGACAAAGTGGATCCCCACCAATGACCCCACCGTACACGGTACCGCGTCAAGCCAAGGTGCCCATTATCGACGCCGAACCGGAGACCACCATCGGTGCAGCCGTCAAGATGAAAGGTGAGCTGAGTTTCGAACGACTGCTGCGAATCGAAGGCGAGTTCGAGGGCAAACTGAACTCGAAAGGTTCCCTTGTTATCGGTACCCGTGGGGCTCTCATTGGCAACGTTGACAACATGAAGGAGGTGTATATCACTGGCGGAAGAATCGTGGGTAATGTCAATGTGGAGAAGCTGGTGCTACGAGATAAGGCCCAGATATTTGGGAACATCACCGCCAAGACGGTCAAGATTGAGCCAGAGTGTATTGTTGTTGGACGGATCAACGTGAACCCACAGGCACCCGAGCGGATCAACGAAAAGGGCGAGATCGTCAAGGATGACGCACCCGATGGCACGCCTTCAAGCTAAGCTTAGTTGAAGACATATCTATTAGAAACTTGATGCAGAAGATAGGCTGGAGAACTGGAGCTTTGAGAAACTCTACAACATGATAAACAGAAAAATAATTGCGCTTCCATCCCTTCATCCGCGAATGTAATATATACCCAGCAATACTGGTAAATCTTCTGCATATACGCTGCTATTAACGACAGGTTTAGAACTTGCCGGGACGCTTTCTGCCCGTGAACTTGCTGTCCGCCTTGACCTTCTTACCCTGTTTACGGTAGCGCTCCTTCTTGGCCATCACCCAGTCCTTGGCTTTAATCGGTTCACGACCCTTTCCTCTGCGTTGCTACACAAAACCCACACATGTCAGCACAGCCATAAAACACTCGAGAGCAGGAAACCGCACACGTACGCGTTGATTCTTGCCGCGTCCTTCGTACGAGATCTGGTTGGCAGTGGCTCCCGTGCCGAGTCCCTGAGGCACCTGCTGATGATCTGTGTATCCAGCGAATAGACAGAGGTAGAATTTCTTGGCCTTGGCACTATTGGGGAAGTCAATAACAAGACCACCCGAGAAACCGCAGCGCATAGCAGTGCCCGAGATCTCCTCCATCTGCTCGGGCGTCTCCGGGTAGAGCTGCAGCACAGCACGACTGCCAGCCTTCAGACACGTGTAGAGTGATGTGAAGAAACGCGTAAGACGCTTGCGTGCCGTGTGCTCCTTCTTGTCCGAGTAACAGAGCCACTGTACGGCTGAGATACTGATACAGCCGTCAAAGACGCCAGGACGGAAAGGCAAACCTCCGCCCATGTCCTGTAGGAACACGTCACCACTGCTGTCCCGCTCTGAGGCGATGTCTAGCATGTCCTTGCTGATGTCCACGCCCACCCATGCGTGGCCATGCTCCTCCAGCGCCACTGCATCCATCAATGATCAAATGTCAGCTAAGTCATCGGGTAAGCTCAGGTAGTTCGTAGACAACGGACCTCCACTCAAACCACTTCCACAACCGACGTCTAGAATGAATGCTTCCTTGCCCTCTGGCAAGTTGAGCAGCTCGATGGCGCGGTTCGACAGTTCCTGTTGCACCTTAACGATGCGTGAGCTCGAATTGTACTTGGCCGCCTCCTTCTCATCATAGAAGAGCTACAGCAACGGGTAAACAAACACATAAGGTTAGCGGTGAGCATAATACAACCTCCTAGCTGTTGGACGAACCTCCGGCGGCGAGATGTGCTCGGGACGACTCATGCTGCATGCAGTGGACGATGCAACTGCGCCTCCTCCACCAAACCAATGTCAAAATTAAGTTGCGTTAAATGCAGCGACCTTCACGCAACTTTGTCTGAGCACCATAAGCTATTTTCAGATGGGACACCCGCTCTTTTACATGAAGCGTTCTTATCGAGCAGCTCATCTTGCTCTTGCGCTCTCTCCACCTCCGTATTCGCATCTATTCATCCGGCACAGCCCGATTGTCTCCATCTAGTCGAGCTGACGAGGAATCTCGCATTGGGATATCGAAATTTCGATCAAAATGGCGCAGCAGAAGCCGGACTTGTCCATGTTTGATCACAGCATCGTGAAGGACGGCACTAACAGCGAACTGTCCGCTCCGAGCATGCTCAGTCCAGTATCAGGTTTGTCCAGTGACACATCGTCGTTCTTGTATGGCGGAGGCTACGCACATGCACCCAACGCGCGGCCGGCGCCGCCCCACTCAGCGACTTTGCGCACGAATTTCACGTCAGCAGCCAACGACCAGAGCGGAACGAGACCAGCGTCAACCTTGCCGGCTACTAAAGAAGACGACGCATCGGAGTCGCCTGATGCGGCGTTCCGACACTTCAGGACTCCAGCCAACGACCCCGGAATGCCCTTCTCGGACATGGTGGTGTCGGCCTCGCCGCTCTATGGACGAGCATCCAAGCGCAACATGATATTCATCGTGCTGGCAATTGTGGTCGGCAGTATCGTGGGTGCTCTGCTAAAACACTTTAAGATTGACACAACAACCGCGGAGTGGATCATGACGCCCGGTAACCTCTTCGTCCGGGCAGTACAGTGCGTGGTAGTGCCTATGGTACTCGTGAACCTTGTGGTGGCTACTGCCGACATCACGAATAAAGGACTTGGCAAGCGACTCAGTCTGCGCGTGACTGCACTCTTCTTGGTATCAATTATCGTAGCTATTTTACAAGGATTGCTTACGGGTGTCATCATGCATTCGGCCTTCACTTCGTACCAGAAGGACGAGTCGACGTCCAGCACGGACCCTATCTTCGGCATTCAATGCGGTAATGGCAAGTATCTGGAGGCAGGGGATGACGGTACGATCACCTGCTCGGCGACTGAGATCTCTGGTTCTTCACAGTTCGCTCTGGACGATGTAAACGGCGCTCTCGTACGTAATGAGGCCTTGACGGGAACGAACACCACGCTGTCAAACAATGTGCTGGCCATCATCAACCAGGTTGTACCGAACAATATCATGGCTGCCTTCGTGTCGAACACGTTGCTGAGTATTGCAGCATTCTCACTGCCGCTTGGCGTCACACTGGCGTACAGCTTCCACGGCCCAACCAATCTCAACCCGCTGCTCGAGTTCTTCCGTGAAGTTAACGAGACTCTCGTACACATGGCCCATTGGATACTCCGTTTTACCCCGTTTGCAGTGCTGAGTTTGCTAGCAGGATCCCTCGCCAATTCGTTAGAAGACTCAGTCGCGGATCACCCGCTTAACCTGGTGCTACAAGTGGTGGCAGCATTGGCCGTCAGTGTGCTGGTACACATGCTGATCGTGGTACCAGCTGCGTTCGTGATATTCACTCGACGCAATCCATTCCGCTTTATGCGTCAAATGCTGCCGGCATACGTGTACAGCCTCGGGTGCTCGTCATCTATGGCCACGATGCCGCTTAGTCTGCAGTGTATCGAAACGTCTCGGGAAGTCCCGAGTCCCGTGATGCATTTCGTCCTGTCTGTGGGCACATCGCTGCATATGCCTGGCACGGCGCTGTATCTAGCGTTGCTGGTGCACTTTATGGCTGATGTAGCTGCTGTGGTGGAGGCACAATCGAGTACGACGATGCTAGTGTCTTTCCTTGGTGTCTTGCTGTGCACTATCACAGCACCGCCAATCCCTGGAGGTGCGCTTACTGTGCTGACTGCTGCCTGGAACATCGTCTTCCCTGAGTCTGCCATTCCGGACAGCTTGTACGCGCTTGTGGTGGCTTCAGATGTGTTCTTGGATCGCTTCGTCACGCTCTGCAATGTCAATGCACAAGCCATGCTCTGTCGTGTATTAGCTGATCAGGTTGACGAGAATGATAATAGCAACGCTCCACGAGCACAGGTTCAGCAGTACGCTGTACGGTAATGTATCTCCTGTACTCCGAAATGCACACTACATTGAAGAAAAAAACCGAGTTGTGTTGTGGTCAAAACGTGTATCATTGTTACTATTCCGTCCAGCAACTTTCTGCTTAAAGTTATTCTTTCCGTGCACCTCATGGTTGTGGGGCTGGTGTAGACGGCAGCTTCTCAACTGGAGTGGGTGCTGGAGAGTTGCTAAAGTACGGGTGCTTCAGTGCCTCCGCTGCTGTGATCCGCTCAGCTGGATTATACCTCAGCAGTTTGGACAGCAGATCCAGCGCGTCTTCTGACGCCGCCGAGAAGATCGAGGCAAGCGGAGGTGCTGTACTCGGTGTGAACTCGACAAAGTTAGCCAGAGAGCACACACCGGGCCATTCCTCCTCCGTCGGTGTACCGAGAGCGTGGAAGATCTTTCCAAGCTGATCCAGCTCGTTTAGCCCCGTAAGATACGGCGTCCGCAACATGAGCTCAGCGAAGATGCAGCCAGCGCCCCACATATCCACGGATCCACTGTATTCTCTCGCGCCGAAGAGCAGCTCCGGCGGACGATACCAAATAGTGCAGACCATAGAGGTCATGTTGCGGTTGGGACTACCATAGACTCTAGCAAGACCGAAATCTCCAATCTTGACGTTTCCGTCGGGACCGATCAGCAAGTTCTCAGGCTTGAGATCGCGGTGCAACACGTAGTGCTCGTGACAGTAGGCGATACCCTTAAGCAGCATCTGCATGTACGTCTTGATGTCGGCGGCTGTGAGCACCACCGCCTTGTCCTTGATTACATCATCCAAGTTGCTGGGAAGCAGCTCAAATACGACGTTCATGGTGTCATTGGCGACGAACACATCGAGGAGCTCCACAACATTCACGTGCTTGAGCTCCGCCTGCAGCTTCACTTCACGCAAAGCGGTAAAGTCCACGCCATCTTTGAATTTGCCACGTTTGAACTGCTTGATGGCAACTCGACGTCCTGTGCTTCTCTGTACGGCGGCGTACACGATACCGAACGTACCCTCGCCCAAGACAACGCCGCGATCATAGCGCTCCATGCTGGAAGAAATAACTTAGTGACAGGTCACTAAATTCATAGTTTGGAGTGGTGTACACAATTTAACGGTCATTGAAGTTGACCATCATTCCCGCTCCCCAAAAGATCGTTGCAAATAAAATAGCCGCCAACGGCAACGGCAATCTCCCCGCCATTATTACCCAGTAAAATACGCAGCGAAACTGGAAAACAGTTGCACAAAATGTGCAAATTTGCTTGGAAGAGTCGGGGGTTTCCAAGCATGAAAATGTAGCCATCCATAATTGCTTACAAAGCCCAAGTCTAAGGAATCCTAATCTCCGCGACCTTCTAGAGTGACCGTTGGTGGAGCGCCACGGTGGCCCCGTTTCCTACTCATTCGCGAATTTGCCAGCTCCCTGTCAAGCCCCCAGACTCCGAGTAAGCTTCATCACCCAGCTTCCTCGTGGTCTACAACTTGTTCTTGACTCAAGCCAACCCTCCTTTATCCAGCACCTTTTTATTTCTTCTAAGATGCGTGAAGTCATCTCCATCCACCTCGGCCAGGGCGGTATCCAAGCCGGTAACGCCTGCTGGGAACTGTACTGCCTTGAACACGGCATCCAGCCTGATGGCCAAATGCCCAGTGACAAGACCATCGGGGGAGGAGATGATGCCTTCAACACTTTCTTCTCCGAGACCGGTGCAGGAAAGCACGTCCCGCGTGCTGTGCTCGTTGACCTGGAACCCAGCGTCTGTGACGAAGTGCGCACTGGTACCTACCGTCAGCTCTACCACCCGGAGCAGATTATCTCTGGCAAGGAGGATGCTGCCAACAACTACGCGCGTGGTCACTACACCATCGGCAAGGAGATTGTCGACCTGGTGCTGGATCGCATCCGTAAGCTGGCCGACAACTGCACCGGTCTGCAGGGTTTCCTGGTCTTCAATGCTGTGGGCGGCGGAACCGGCTCCGGTCTCGGTGCTCTGCTGCTTGAACGTCTGTCAGTCGACTACGGCCGCAAAAGCAAGCTCGGCTTCACTATTTACCCGTCACCTCAGGTGTCCACCGCCGTGGTGGAGCCATACAACTCGGTGCTGTCCACCCACTCACTGCTGGAGCACACGGATGTGGCCGTGATGTTGGACAATGAAGCCATTTACGACATTTGCCGCCGTTCGCTGGATATCGAACGCCCAACCTACACGAACTTGAACCGTCTTATTGCTCAGGTCATCTCGTCTCTAACGGCTTCGCTGCGTTTCGACGGTGCACTCAACGTCGATGTGACGGAGTTCCAGACGAACTTGGTGCCATACCCACGTATCCACTTCATGCTGAGTTCATACGCCCCCGTGATCTCGGCCGAGAAGGCCTACCACGAGCAACTGTCTGTTGCCGAGATCACCAACAGTGCGTTCGAGCCTGCGTCCATGATGGCTAAGTGTGATCCTCGTCACGGCAAGTACATGGCTGCGTGTCTGATGTACCGTGGTGACGTTGTCCCGAAGGATGTGAATGCCGCTGTGGCCACCATCAAGACCAAGCGTACTATTCAGTTCGTCGACTGGTGCCCTACCGGATTCAAGTGCGGAATCAACTATCAGCCTCCCACGGTTGTACCTGGTGGTGATCTTGCTCGCGTGCAACGTGCGGTGTGCATGATCTCCAACACCAGTGCCATTGCTGAGGTGTTTTCTCGCATCGACCACAAGTTCGATCTGATGTACGCCAAGCGTGCATTTGTGCACTGGTACGTCGGTGAGGGTATGGAGGAAGGTGAGTTCTCAGAGGCCCGTGAAGATCTTGCTGCTCTGGAGAAGGACTACGAGGAGGTGTCTGCTGAGACTGCTGAGGGTGAAGGTGAGGAGGAGGAGTTGGGCGAAGAGTATTAACCGACGACTGTGGATTCGAATATTAAGCGCGTGACCCTGGTGGTTGCAGTGTTCAGAAGGAGGATGACCGAGGAATGCACTAATTCATTTGTAGATGTTGAGAAGACTTTATCTTTAGCAATTATGCCATTTGCAATTTCTCCGTGTCCAGCAATCCTTAATCCATATAATTTCTGGATCATATCGAGATGCCTGTGTCGCATTATAGAAGTACTGGGAATACCTCTATTAGGGGGGTCAGGCTTGAACAAAATCCAAAAATAATCGCATGCCATTTCGCCCATTTTTTAAAGCTTGCCATTTCATTATCACCCACCTCAGGAGGTGGGTGATTATGAAATGTGTTGGCAAATCGTAAAAAAACCGTTTACAACAGTTTGTATTTGAGCAGTGTTATTGTGAATTCCGTCCAAATTTGCCGATTTGGGTCTGTTGGAGGAGTGTGAGGACATTCGCCATCATACAAATCCAAGTCATTAGTAGAACCCACCAAATCGCCAAGCGTATACAATACCGTATACTGACCCGTTTAAGTACGAAATAAGATCGTGACATGTGGCAAGAAAAGACTTTGGGGAGGTTCATTCAAAGAACCGCCCATGGAAATTTTGAGTAGAACTCACAATATTACCTGTTATTATAGGTCTTTAGCAGAACCGACAAAAGGCAAATTGTGTGAACTGCAGCTGGTTTTGGAGCCTAACCTCCATCTCCAACCCACGATTTCAACTGTGTAGGATGCCAGGAACCCACCAAAGCGAGGCAAATAAACTGTTCAGGTTGAAAACATGTGAGCTGTTCCTCTGCTACTAAATCACAGCTATACCGTTGATAAAACGGAGTCACGTCGTTCATTTCGGGTTCAAGTCCAGCTACGCAACTCATGGTGGCATCAAGTGAGGCGGTTTCTGAATGGGATGACGCTCGAGGCCACTTAATTCGACAACAGCAGGCCTTCGCCGATACCAAAAGAACGCGTACTTGATGCGTGTTTGGAGCGAAGCCTCTCAGACAAATCAAGTTGTGTTGGCTGCTACGATTGCTCAGTATTTCTACGCCGAGTTACCTCCTCAACATCACTTCCGCGTTCCGTTCAACTTCAACGCACTATCCAGCGCTGATTGTGTATCTAAGTTTCGTTTTGGCAAAGCTCAAATCGAGTCCCTCGTGAGCCTCTTCGCGCTAGATGCGATAAGGACTCGTGAACGCACGGCAGCGAATGGAGTTGAAGGCTTGTGTATTGTCCTGTACAAGTTGGCAATCCCGTTGCGCTGGAAAGATCTCGAATCGTTTTTTGGGCGAACTGAAAGCGGTCTTTCAAACTTGTTTCTTCATGTGTTGGATCACCTGGAGTCCAAGTTTGCAGACCTTTTATACTTCAAATCATGAATACGCAGCAAACCATGTACAAACGTACGCGGATGCTGTGTTCGATGCTGGTGGGTCAATGCAAAACGTGTGGGCGTTTGTAGATGGAACCGTACGAGGAATTTGCAGGCCTAAAGCTCGCAACAGTCAACGTGATGGAAAATATCGAAGCCAGAAATCCGTTTACAACGGGCACAAACGCAAACATGCTCTAAGATACCAGACACTATCAACTCCTGACGGGCTCATTACCCATGTGTATGGACCTTTTCCTGGGCGAAACCATGAAATTAAGTTGTTCAAGGACTCGCGAATTGCTAACGTCATTCGCGGTGATGCTCGGTTCAAGCCCTATCGCATCTACGGTGACCAAGCGTATGGGAACGATTCTGTGCTTTCGAGCCCATTCACAGGGGCTGTGGCGAACCTTTCGCGAGAACAAAAGTTAGTCAACAAGAGCATGAGTAAGGTGCGCGTGTCTGTTGAATGGGGATACGGACAAGTTGTCAATTATTGGACTGCACTGGACTTGAAACGACAAGCCCGCTCGGGTACCCAGCCTGTTGGATCGATGTACCGCGTGGCGATTTTGCTAACTAATTGTTTGACTTGCGCCAATGGAGGCAATACGATCAGTGACTACTTCAGGCTTCCACCACCAAGTCTTGAGGAGTACTTGAAAGGCAGTTAAATTCATTGATAAACTTATGTCTTTTATAGGAGTTTCCTACTTCTTGTCACTACTATTGAGTGACTTGCTGAAAATCGTGACGCATTGCAATATCAGCTGTCTGTTTCGCTCCTCAGCTTCTTCACGTGCCCTGTTAAGGCGTTCCTCGGTGTGCTCACGAGATCTTTCTCGCTCTCGCTCAAATGCTAGGCGATTTTCGTGTTGCTCTCTTTCGAATGCTAGTCGTTCTGCATGCTGCTGCTGCTGCAATTGCATTTGTCGATCAAACTGCTCGCGGCGCATCTCAGCGTCGAGCCGAATACGTTTCTCTTGCCTGTCAACTTCCAACTGAAAAACACTTTTTCGGCGTCCTGCTGGAACTTTGCCTGGAGTTGATATTGAGCTAACTGACGGAGTAGACGCCACCGAAGCAGTGCCATCGTCGCTATCTGAAGAAGCATCGCTTGATAGTATGTTTTCCCCCCGACGAGCTCGGCGCGTAATAGCGTCTGACACAATTTGAGAAGCGCAGAGATTAGTTTGAGCTTCTTCAGCTTGCTTCTTTTCCTTGTTCGACTGTTTTTGGGCCTTGAAATCCTTTTCTAGAGACACATACTGCCCTACTAGGCCAGGTAAGGAGTCATAGTGACTCTGTTCGTTGGTAGCATTTCTTGCCTCCTCGATACCACTGCCTAAAGCTGCACGAAGCTCACCCGCCGACCAGTTTTTCTTCAACAGTCGCACGCGATCCTGTACCTGTTTATCGACTAGACTAACCTTGACAGCAGCACTCACACACTTCGCGACTTGAACCCATACTGCAGCAGCCTCTCCGTATTTGGCGGTGTATGGTTTCTGCTTGATAGCCTCGCGCATGAGCTCCTTGTCAATGTCCTCAGAGAAACGAAATACCATCGCGCTTCTTTCACTAATTCGTTGAAGTAACAATCCTAAAATGAACCCCTGCCAGATGGCCACAAATGCTTCACTCCTCGGTTGTGCAAAAGATAAATTCAAACCTGGTGAAGCTCACCATCTGCTGCGGTTGTGATGCAAACCCACTAGGTTCTGCTAAAAACCTCTATTAACGGTGAACATGCGATTTCCACAGTGAAATTCACGGCAGCTGAGATCGACCCACCACTTCGCCTCGAGATGCACATTATGAAGACGCCCCCCGAGAGCTCGTGCGAAGCCAGCAAGGTTGTGCAGCGCGCTCGCGAGTCAGGACGAGAATCGGTGAAGGAGGTGGAGAGCCCTACAGCGTGAAGTCTGCACCGCTGTGACGTTGCGGGACGCTGTTGCACTGCAGCGGTGACTGCTGGAGGACGGACTGAGCGTGAAACAGGTGCAGGCTATGATCGGTGGCTCTCTGGGCGGTATGCAGACGCTGGAGTGGGCGTTACGGGGTCAGAACTACGTCAAGAACTTGGTGGCTATGACCTGTGGCGCACAGCACTCGGCCTGGATGATCTCCATCAGTGAAGTGCAGCGACAGACGAGGGAGGAGATGCTTCACCAGCGCCTCATCTTCCTCATCATTGGCGCCACGGTGACGGGTACCAGCAATAGGGTGGGTCTCTACAATACGGTCGTGGTCCACCTTGACAAGCATCTTGGGTGATGAGCCAACAATCTGGAAATCATCACCATGTCAAGGAAGAACATATACGGCGGCGGGTTAATCACGCGCATCTGACGGTACAGATCCAGCGGGGTGGCGTCCTTCGGGAGGTCAACGGCCAGTAGCTGCGATGGCACAGCCTGGAGAATGTCGCCGTCCACAATGTACTCCTTGAGCTTGTTCACGAAGCCCATGTAGCCAGCTTTACCAACGTTGGAGGCCGCCTCCAAGTCAATCTTGGACGTTGCCGGTGCGCTTGCGTGGCTATGCGACGCATATAACGCTTGAAGCCAACGTAGTTGTCAACTCCAAGTTCTACTGAGTGAGGTAAGAAACAAGTGCTTCATGTACGAATTCCATGTGCTATTTATTGACCATGTTTACCGTGTTTGGTGTGACATATTCCTATGTTTTCGTTTCGATGATGTAGTAAAACTGAATACAGGATTGAACTCGTTTCCATGCGCAGCACCAGCTCCTAGAAAATGATGTTGCTGGGGGGGTCGTCCGGACAAGAGTCTGGTCGTTCTCGGTCGGCGTTCCGACCAGTCTCAGGCTCGCTATCGTCGCAGGAGCCACTGTCGTCACTTGAGTCGCTTTCCCCACCTGCATCTGGGTAGAGCTGATAAAGAACGTTATTCGCTTCGGATTTCCTCGCAAGGTTCGTGTACACGAAGACACGCTTATTCACACGATCTGACGTCAGCCGATTCCGCAGTTTGGTATGATTGAACGCAAAAATACTCCAGCTTCGCTCACTTGAGGCAGAAGACGTTGGGACGTACAAACTCAACTTTGCGAATTCCTGCACTAAGTGATGCGCTCTAGACGTCTCTATCGCTCACCAGTTGATAGGACTGTAGCAGTGATGGTCGACACGAGTTCTCCCAGTCCATTCCGACTTTGCGATGACAAAATTTTGCAACTGTAAGTGAAATTCGTCTCCCAACGCATCCGGAATCAGCTCCATCTCAAGGACAAGTTCCTTGGCAGCGTTAATCCTTGCTTTTGTGTCCGCATTCTCGTGATCATACATTGGTTTGGAGTGGTCGAGGAGATTCGCCAGTATCACTTCCTTCGAGCAATTTTTCTCCTGGCGCTTAGTTATAACAGTCAATACATCTTCCTGAAGTTCCAAGCTACAATCCGGCAAGGGTCTCGTGTACACCCGGTGCGTACGCAGCCACTCGAACTGGTTGTAACAAGTGAAATGCTGCAGTTATCGCGCTCAAATGCTGTGAGACTCTTGTTAATGGGCTCAATTAGCGATAAAACGATCTGGGTGTCCTGCCAAAATCCATCGTCATAAAAAGCGGCAAGAGATTTATCCAAAGCATCGCCTTCATAGCTCTTAAGCAAAGCCGTATCTGAAAAGATCGCAGCGAGAATGTCTTTGTTGTGGTAAACACTGGCGATACACTTCTCGTGAGTGTACCACCGAGTAGGTACAGGTAACGAAAGACGTCGACGTTTCTCGCCGTTTTTCCTCAACGCCTTCTGCATCCTTTGAAATCGGTATGACAGTCCCCGTCGATATTTGACAAAATGAGCCAGATTCTTAGACTTTGTTTAGGACATCATCGATAAACTTCAACTTGAAAAGGTCTTTCATCAACAGATTCATGCCGCGTGCTGAGCGCCCGGTGCAAACCATGCCGACGCGATTTTTTTGAACTAGTCTCCAAGCTTTCTTCATGTTTGATGCATTGTCTGTTACAACAGCAGTAACTTTCACCTTACCGACTTCTGCCTCAAACTCCAAGATTGTAGTCCAAATCGTACTCGCAATATACTCAGCGGAATGTACTTCAGCTTTAGTATTGATCGATTTCCAGAAAATAGGTGGTGTTCACGGGTTAACAAAAACAAAGTTGATAATTCCATCTCCGTTCAGCCATCGGTAATAAGAGCCAGGTTTGATACAGTTCCTTCGAGAGAAAAAAGGCCAATCACCCGAGTTTTTTCACGTTCGTAAAGTTTATCCAGTAGTCGCCCTGATATCTGACGACGAGATGGCAACTCGTAGTCAAACATGGCTTGGAAATGAGGGTTCTCCACTACTCGAAACGGGATTCCTGTCGCAATCAAGCCAAAGGCAAAACGCAGGTTGTTGTCTTCTTGAGTTTCCTTGGCAGATTTTCTTACACTAGCTGCTGCAGCATGTTCAGAGCCTCGTCTACGTTGTGGTGTCTTGAACAGCCTCTTAGTCACAGACGGGGTCGAATTCCTGCTCGCACGTGGTGACTTGGCTGGAGTCACAAACCTGGAGGCTTGCTTGTGTCGGCGGCCGGCATCTAGTTCTCGCCATTGTCATTTAGATTGATCATCAATTCTAGGACATGAGATGACATGTTTGGTCATATTTCGAGATGGTTGAGCATTTTTGAGCTCTACCTGACAGGCTAAGCACTTTGCATCAGGATGGGCCTTTTCACCCTTAACTCGAGGCGCAGTGATCTCAAACAGACCCCAAATCTTGTGCTGAGGCGGCGCCATTGAAAGTTGACGGACACGGATAGACACGTGGTGGCGAGAGATTTAACACCTTGGATCTAGCTGCAGCGCCTGACAACTGAGTGATGACTTTTTATTAAGCGAACTTGTGACGATGTCAGCCGGGAGTGTAGCGGCTAAAGAATGTCCCTTAAGGGGCGTTCTTAAGAATACTGAGGGGAGGGAGGTTAAGGGTGCAAAGATCTGCGCTGCTTTCAAACTTCAATATTGGGGGGGGGTTAAGGTAGTGTTTAACTTAACAGCTGTCAAATAAGACAACTGGACTTCTCAAAAGGCGAGCTACGCTGACTACGACATTTGAAAAGTCTACAGTACAGTACGGTACTGTGCAATGTTGCGCTATGGCACAGGTGGAGGAGGAAGAACTTGATCCTGACTCGGAAGGAGTGGTAAGGCTCGGAGAGTGCCGTTTCGATCAATGCAGAGAGCTTTTTGGCGTATGGCAAAAAGCCGAGGGTTGGAAAAAGCGAAATGCTTCAACCGCGACGTCACTGGAAAGTGACGGAGGCACCGGAGTAACTTGGTGAGGTCAGCAGGATCGGAAAACCTAAGCAGGATCGGAAAACCTAAGCAACGATCGGAAGTGAGCGCTAAAACAGGAGTAAACCTGGTAGATAGCCCTGCTTGCATCCAACGGAGGTTTGTCCTCGAAGACGTGCTTGTTACGCGCTGTCCAAATGACGTGAATCCAGATAGAACGAGTGATAGACCATAGGGTGTTGAGGACAGAAGCTCGACGAGCTGCTTCCGCAGTCCACTTCGGCTCACAGGGGAGATAAACCAGTTCCCACGTAATATCACCGAAGAAATGGCGCCAGTCGGTCTCGATGTCACTCCACAGAGGAACAACATGAGCGCACTCGAAAAAGAGATTCCGTTCCGTTTCCACACTGGTGCAGCCGTATCCGCAGTTGAGAGCGAGTGGTGAAGAACGCTGTAGGAGCCAGAAACGGGAGCGCGTCGGTAAAAAAAATTCCAGGCTAGACGAAATTGGAGATCTGAATACACGGGAAGGACCACTTGCCGAAGCTCCTTACGTTCTTGGACAGTATTTGACAGTGCGGACCGGGAAAGCTGGTCGCAATGATGGGAAAGTGGGTGGTCTCGCAACTCGAATGTCGGGTTGCCTACCAGACTCCTCACGTCACGCTTGGATAGCACAGGAAACATATGAACAACCCCGTCGAAAACAAAGCCTATAGGTGAAGCCAAGTCCTCCTTTCGTACCGGGCCGTGCAGAACGCCATGAGTTCCCACTACTGATCGTAGTAAAGCAGTCAAATCTCGGTAAAGACACAGTAGCTGGCGAATACTCCTCCGGAGCTCCATATTTGGCAAACCATGTATACAAAGTCCGTAGCAGTAGGCCACGATCCACAAAAGAAATCCATCAGGCACCGACAACCGGTACACGCTGCAAACACGAGACGAAAGTCTCTGTATCGACCTGCGTTCCGCATGATTGAGCACGACTTACCCCCTTGAAGTTGCAACTGCAACGGGTGCGAGCTGTGGCAAACATTGGCGCGAAGCAGTGCAGCTTGCTGAGCTACGGGGTCGCATGGGGAATTGGAAAGAAGCTTGGGCGGAGTCGACCAGACAAACCACGAAAACTGCCACCAGGCGGGGGCGTTTTGAAGGGGATAATATTCGTACGTCTGGAGAAGAGGCACGAGAGGAAGTCAAACGTCGAGAGCTGTAATCCTGTAGGGAGTACACAGGCTAGAAGTGCCTTTGTAATAGCTTTCCATGGATCCTGCTCACTCATCCAAAATAGCTGCTGAAGTATTAATACCCGTTGTTTCTTGATCGTGTCGGCAAGGAGCGGTATTTGGAGGCCACCTCGGTGGAATGAGACGTCAAATGCCAGCTTTGGCAAGTTTGACAAAACGTCGACCAGGATCACTCCTCCTCGTAAGTAGATATCTCTCAGAGATGTACTGCAAACGCCAAATCATGTCATCAGGTAGAGTAAAGTGAGAAGTAAAGTGCCACACAATCGAGAAAACCATCGCATTGAGGATGAAAGGACGTCCGCGAAAGGTGCGTGCGCGCTTCCCCCAGCGAGCGAGACGAATACATACCTTAGATTCCAAAGACACGCAAACCAACTCAGAACGGACGTCAGGACCAATAGGTACGCCGAGGTAGACCGCTGATCCGGACGTTCCGACTCCAAAAGGCGAGTCCTGAGCTGATATGAAGTTTCCGTTGAAAGCAATCAATTGGGACTTATTCAAGTTGAGCCGCGCTCCTGATCCAACGCAGTATGCATCCACAATATTAACTTGGCGCTGCAGACCCTCGATAGAGGTCGAGAGGAGCGTAGAGTCGTCAGAAAAATAGAGTCCAGTTCCCACGCAGTCGGGACTTATCGGGATGCCTACCTCTGGTAGTGCGCAAAGAAGATTTCCGAGCGGCTCGATTGAAAGGACGAACAGCAGCGAAGAGAGTGGATCACCTTGTTTGACGCCTCGTGATGGACACAATGTCTCCTGTAGTACACCACTGATTGACAAAGCAGCTTCTGTGTTAGAGTACAACATTCGTACCCACCCACAAAATGCTGGCCCGCATCCAACTTGGCGTAGAACCCCAATCAGATAGTTCTAGTTGACACGATCGTAGGCCTTCGCAAAATCTAAGAAGAGGGCATATCCAGGCTGCCCTCGAGAGCGTAACGTTTCTTGCAGGTCTTGGAGAAAGCGAACGTGGTGATGAAGCGAGCGCCCCTTGATAAATCCTTTCTGTTCGGTATGCGGGAGGAATTGTTGTAGCCTGTAAGCCAACGCCTTAGACAGAATCTTAACATCGACTTGCATCAGCGAAAATGGCCGGTAATTTCCGGGGTCGTGACGGTCTCCTTTCTTGTAGAGTAACGCGAACACCGATTTTTTTTTGAGAAGAGAGCATGAAGCCGTGTTCGAGTTGGTGTGCAAAACGTAATGCGAGCACGTCCCTAAACGCGTCCGGATTCAACTGATACAGAGACGGCTCTAGGTCATCCAGACCAGGGGCGGAAGTAATATTCAAGTTTAGAATTGTTTCCGCGAGCTCGGATCCTAGCACTGGTGCGTCGAGCGCTGCAGCGTTTCACCCAGCCGTCGGTGTAATGAAATGATTAGCCTATCTGTTGCCGACTGGACGATAGGAGGCTCATCGCCAGCAAAGCGTTCTTCACCGAATATACC